CTGGATGTTCACTGTCCAATCCCTTCAGACAAATGTACATGCTCCTCCATTTAGGGTGGAATTCCATCTCCATAGGTCCATCCATGTTAAAGTGACAATATTGTGATGTGTGAGGCGACCCTTCTCACCATATGACCTTCGGCAAGTCACAGTCCCTGCCCCGCCCCCTCATCTGCAGAATCCCAGTCTTGTAGAATCCTGTTCCAAAGGTCCTTTTGCGGATTCCCCAAGCCCAGCTGTGGCCTCCAGGGGGCCCCATGCCAGGTGCACACAGGCCCTATTCTCGCGTTGCGCATCCCTGTGCCTGCTCCTGGAGGACCCTGCCCGCTGACCTGGCGACCTGCAGTTTGCGCGGGTAAAGAGAGGCCTTTGTTCCCGCCAGGCCTGCGCGACTCCCGCCCTAATCCGGCTAATTAAGGTCCACAGGGCGGTCGGGCTGCGCTCGCCCACCGCTTTCCCACGGCCGCGAAGAAAGCCCCTCAGTGCGCGCAGAGAACAGAGCGCGATTCAGGCCCGCCAGTCGGGAGCCAGCCGCTGCCACCCTGGGTCCCTGCAACTTCTCCGCGGGCTGTCCTCTGTCTCGTCTGCCACCTCCCCACCGACCACCGCGGGGTTTGTCTCTCCCTGCTTCCGTCTGCATCTCTGTGTCTCCCTCTCCTTACCTGTGTCTCCCCAAGGTGCTCTGTTGTCTGTCAGGTTCTCTTTCCCTCTGCCTGTCCTGTCTGTCCCCTGCCTTCCCCGTAGCCAGGGTTCAACCTCACCACTCACTAGGTCTGTTTGGGATCCCATCAAGTTGAGCCCAGCTGCCTTTGCCCAACAGCCTTAGAATGCCTCATCCTCTTCCTGGGGATCCCAAAGTCTCAGCTTTTCTTTCTTTCTTTCTTTTTTTTTTTTTCAGTACTGGCGGATTGAACCAAGGGCCTTCACACAGCTACATTCTCCGACCTTTTTTATTCTTTATTTTGAGACGGAGTGTAAGAAGATAAATTACCCAGGCTGGGCAAAAATTTATGATCCTTCTGCCTCATCCTCCCAGAGTACTGAGATTACAGGCATGGACTACCACACCCAGCTGGTCTCTTCTAAAGGGAAAGAAACAAGGAAGCTCTGAGACTCAGCCATGTCTCTTCAATGGTTTTGGAGAAAGCCCTGGCCTCTCCCTATGGGGGAAGACGGTAGCTCTAAGACAGTGAAAAGCCTTGGAGATGCCCACCCTGGGCCAACAAAGGGGTGTGTGTGTGTGTGTGTGTGTGTGTGTGTGTGTGTGGTCCGACAGCAGCACGAGCACAAGGGGATAGGGGGACTCAGAAAGCTCAGTGTCTTCTGGCCAGGCCAGAAAGGGCAGCTGTCAGCATTACTGAAATTGTCCAAGGAGAGAGCCTCTCTGCTGGGCTGAGTCTGGGCCAGCTACCATTGAAGCTGGACAACTGCTTTTCTAGAATTCAGTGGGAGTACGTGTCCAAAGGGTGCTGGATCCGTTTGGCCATTTATTCATTCACTCTACAAATATTTATTGAGTGCTTACTATGTGCTAGAAACCATTCTAAGGGGCAAAGAAAAGGTCAGGAACAAAATGGAGAGGGGAAAGAGTTTGTTAGGTAGAGGGAAAGGATCAGAAAAAAATGCAAAACCAGGAAGGGGTGTTGGGAACTAGGTGAGGACGGGGGCCTCTCTGGGTTTGTGGCTGTATTAGTCAGCTTTCCTATCTCTGAGACACCGTATCCAACATCCACAACTTAAAGGAGGACCGGTTTAATTTAGCTCATGGTTTGGGGGATTCAGTCCATGGTCAGCTGGCTTCGAGGAAGAGACATCATGGTGGAAGGGCATGGTGGGGCAAAGCTGCTCAGTTCATGGCAGCTGGGAAGCAGAGCAGGGGAATAGTGCTAGAGAGGAATAGGCCAGGGAGCATATATAGTACCTAAGGCCACACTCCATGCCCTACCCAGATACACCCAGAGTGTGCTCTACTAATTGACTGGGTGTTTTTTAATCCAATGATTAAATTGTCTTATCAGGATTAACATCACAGTGGCACTTCAGCAGAGGCCTGAGGTGATATCAGAGTGTGCTCTGTCCAGAGCAGTCAGTGATTGGGCTTCCAGGCAAGTCCTAACTGGAGCTACCAGGTGACTCTTTCCTTGGGGAAGGGGTGCTGCGCCCCACTGTGACCTGGTGGAGGTACTTGGCTTACCTAGGGGTGGTGGACAAGACTGGAAGTATTGGGCCACAGGAAAACTCCTGTCCCTCATTTTTCTTCTCATTTCATCACCGCTGACAGGGATGGTCTGACATGGTGACTTTTGAATGAACAGACCACACATAAAGCACACAATGTGGGGGGAAAAGTCCTGGCCAGAGGCTGGTGTTCTGTGTCCCAGGGAGAGGTAGGGCTCGAAAACCTAGGACTTCTTTACATCAAGGTAATTGAGGAAAACGGATTACTGAGTTTTGTGAGCTCCTAAATCACAAAACAATGGATCAGGGGGACAAGATATAAAAAGGCAAAATATGGCCTCCCGTGAACTCATGTAGGCCTCAGACAAAGCAGGAGAAAATGGGGAATAACAGAGGCAGAAGGAACGGAAGCATTGCAGGACCCACAGTCGCTTGGGGCTGGAATTAAGGGCGTTGAGCAAGTGCTAATGTGAGGGTGTTGGCTAAGTGGAGACAGGAGGCCCGTGAGACCTTTCTCAGCCTCTCCCTCCAGCTTGCTCTCCCACCCTCAAAGCCTGGCCTGGCAGAGTGGACCCTGGCTGAACCACCACCAGATCTGAGTGGTCCCTCATGCTTCTGGGCCAAAGTGGAGCTAGCCAGGGTTAGGGCCCCACACAGCCTCCGCCCTGGGCCTTCTCCCCAGGGCTGTGCTGCCAGGACTGTGTGAAGCAGACAAGGCGGGAAACCCCAGTGGGATGGAGTCTGAGGCAGGAGTTTTTCATGAGCGTGCCCCACACTACCTGAGAGCCCAGGAGGGCAGCACTCAACCCTTCGGGGCCTCGCTGCCTCACTTGGAGACTGGGGTCATATCGGTGGCCCCTCCTCATGGGGCGGTGATGAGGACCAATGAGATAAGAATGTAAAAGGTACTCTGTCAGCCAGCAATTGCCAGTCTTTTTTGATGAATACATTTTCTATTTTGGCCTACTACCCACATACAAAAAAGAGTTTCTAGGGCCGGGGATTTAGCTCAGTGGTTCCGCCGCCTGCCTTGCAAGCACAAGGACCTGAGTTCGATCCCCTGTACCAAAAAAAAAAAAAAAAGAGTTTCTAGTGGCATTTATTACGTTGAATTTATTACATTTATGATGTTGAATGTATTGGTCTATGTCTATGCTATCTACATTTATTGATTGATTGATTTATACTAGGGATCGAATCCAGGATCTTTACACTGAGCTGCACCCTCCTCCTAGTTTTATTTTTAAAATTCAGGAAAGGGTCTGATTGAGTCTCTAAATTGCCCAGGCTGAACTTGAACTTGCACTTCTCCTGCCCCAGCTTCCCAGAGTGCTGGGATCGCAGGCGTGTGCCACCATGCTGGACTCATTCTGTTTTTTAAAAGCTTCGAGTCATCATCCACTGGGTCTTGAACTATGGTTTAGAATGGGATGCAAAAGCATTTGTGATTTCCACCTTGAGAGTTTGATGGAGGTGGGCCATGGGCGGCCTAAGGAGCTGCTGCCCTGGACACGTCCACTCTGACTCCCGTGCACCCCATCAAGGCCTGATTCTGTGAGGTAGACTTGAATCCTACCTTTGCAGCCATACTCCTCTGCCTGCCCCCAACACTTCCCTAGTGACTACTCAGCTTCATGTCAAAGGCCAGACATACCTGGATAGACTTAGATGGAACCTTAAGGGTCATCTTGTCCCTCTCTTTACATGAGAGGAAACTGAGGCCCAGCCAAGGAAAGTGATTTTTTCAAGGCCACCCACTGAATAGGTGGCAGAACCAGAACTAGAGCTCAGATGTCTTTTTTTTGGTACCGGGAATCGAACTTGGGTCCTTGTGCGTGCAAGGCAGGGGGCAGAACCACTGAGCTAAATCCCCGGCACTCAGATGTCCTTCTGTCACATGGCTTGTTCTCACTTGTGGCTTCTGCCTGATAACAAACCCAGCCTGCCCCACCTTCTATCTCTGGAGTATAGGAACCATCCCTGGCCTGGCTAGAATAGGGATGAAACAGCAGGTTCAGTCTAGACTCTGCACATGCAGTCCATGTGGCCAAAGCCTGTTAGTACTTCTGAGCCCCAGTCTCTTCCTGTGTAGACTAGAAATGATGCTTTCTACTTTTCCCAACACACAGGCGTGCTTTGGAGATTAAATGAGATAAGGTACATCAAAAGGACTTTGAAAAACTATTTAGGCCAGGGATTTAGCTCAGTGGTGTAGCTGCCTGCCTTGAAAGTGCAGGGTCCCGAGTTCGATTCCCATACCAAAAAAAATGTACATCTTGAAAAACTATTTAAATATACTTTAAAACTGAAGGGTTCTTGAGAGTGGGGGAAGGGTTGGATGGGGAAGATTATCGGTTTTCTTAGGAGGATGAAGTTATGAGGTGAGTTACTTATCACACTTATCCCATTGTTCCTGCCGTTTTCTGAAGCATCTCTGGAAGTCCTCTTTCATGAGTGTCTCTAGTTGCACTGTTCTAACTGCCTCTGTGTCTTAAATTGTTATGAAAATATTTACCTCTCATGGTCATTTTGACTTTGGAGAAGGGCCAAAAGTTGCACCATGCCAAAGCTGGTGAATGAGGTGGATGAGGAACTTTGGTGCTGAAGAATTCCAGATGATAGGTGTAGACACTCACACAGGAGCAGAATTCCAAAGTGGCTGTGTGACCTCTAAACCGTGCACTACAGAAAGGAAGAAAGTCGTTTATCCTGGAGACACCTGGCCATCCTCACTTAGCCAGGTATTGAAGTCATGTTGGTACCTTCAGATGACATAATGAAAGTGACACATCCCTTCTGTGGCCTTCCTCCCAAACCCCAAGCTCCAGGCTAACCATGAGAAAAACAGCAGACAAGTCTCAACTCCAGGACAGCTGCAAAACACCTGACCAGCGCTCCTCGAAACTGTCCAAAACAAGGAAAGTCTGAGAAACTGTCAGAATCAAGGTAATATGATGACTAAATGTAAGTCATATCTTAGAATAGAAAAAGGGCATTAAGTAAAACCTCAGGAAATGTGGACAAGGTATGGATTTACATTTCAGTAACACTGTTTGTGTTTTTTGTGGTTTTTTTTGGTAGCTGGGATCGAACTCGGGTCCTTGCATTTGCATAGCAGGCGGTGAAACCACTAAGCTAAATCCCCAGCCCTTCAGTAACATTGTTAATAATATTATAAAGCCTATAGTAACATATCAGTATTGTTTATTAAACAATGGCAGATGTAATACCAGTGTGAGATGTTAATAATAGGGGAAATTGGGTATGGGAACTCTCCATGCTATTTTTGAATTTTTCCTATAAATTAAAACTCTGCTAGAATACAGTTTATATGAAGTTTTATATAGAAAATTGAAGGCCTTGTGCTGTAATTATTCATACATTATGGCTGAGACAGGTGGAATTGGAAGCACGTGTGGGAAGGTTTTCCCAGAAGTACAGAGAGGATTTGAGGAACTACTCAGGGCTGAGCAATACAGCTGGGGAGGCAGGGAGAGGAGGAGGTTCGCACATACCCTGGCCTGGGAAGAGGTATCCTCGAGCAAGCGTCCCTGGGCCAAGGTGGCTTGGGGCCCTTCTCTGGTTTGAGAGGGCTTCTGTAGGAGGTGAGTAGGTGGGGACATAGTCCAACAGGCCTTCCATCCAGAGGTGAGGCTCGCGGCCCTTCCTGTTGCGCTGGGGTGCATGACTGCTTCAGCCACTAGAATGTGGCAAAGTGATTGTGTTTCTGGACCAAGGCTGTTAGAAATGGTCAGCTTCCACCACTTCCTGTCTCTTGGGATTCTAGTCTCGGAGATGAGGCATCAGGAGGAGAGGAAGCCTGCAGAGGGCCCCATGTGCAGGAAAAGGGGCCTGGTGTGCTCAGGCCTGGCTGTCTCCTGGCCACAGCCAGCTCTTATCTGCTGACTGTGTGAATGGGCTTAAGAGTGGATCCTCCAGTCTACTTCGGCGCTGCCACAGCTACCATCTCATGAAGCAGAAACTGACTTTTCCTGCCATGTCTGGACCAAACTGTAGACTCATGATGTCTTTTTTTTTTTTTTCCGTAGCCTTGGCTAGCCTCGAATTTGTGGCAGTCCTCCTGCCTCAACCTCCTGAGTGCTGGGATTAGAGGTATGTGCCACCATGCATAGCTTGGAAGATGTCTTAAGCTATATACTAAATTTTGAAGTGGAGAAGTCATAGTAACCTGAACATCTAAAACCAAGTCCAGGACTCCTCCTTCCCCTTCCCCTCCCCTTTGTCCTTTTTCTCCTATATGCACCCAGGTTGTGGTGTGTTGGTTTAATGCATGGAGATTGAGGCTGCACTTCCTGGGATCAGATCCTGACTACCACACAGCAGCTGTGTGACTCTAAGCAAGCTACTCAGTCTCTTTGTGCATCCATGTGCTAGTCAGCTTTCAGTTGCTGTTATAAAAACCTGTGAAAATCAACTTAAAGGAGGGGAGGTTTATTTTGGCTCACAGTTTCAGAGGTCTCAGTCCATGGTGAGCTGGGTCCATTGCTTTTAGGCCCATGGTGAGGGAACATCATGGCAGAAGGATGTGGCAGAGGGAGGTGGCTCACCTCATGGCAACCAGGCAGGAGAGAAGAGGGAGAGAAGAAGGGAAAGAGGGGAGAGAGAGAGAGAGAGAGAGAGAGAGAGAGAGAGAGAGAGAGAGAGGCTTCTTTCTTCCTTCTTCCACTTTTGTTCCATCTGGGCCTGTTTGGATGGTGTGGCCCACAGCCAGGGCAGATCTTTTGACTCAGTTTGCTGTCCCACAGGCCCACCAGAGCTAGAAACACCCTCACAGAACACCCCGAAGGGAGCTTTACTAGTTTCTAGACATTTATCAATCCAATCATGCTGACAATCAAGTATACTGCTACTTCATCTAGAAAGTGGACACAGGGCCAGGGATTTAGCTCAGTGGTTCTGGCACCTGCCTTGAAAGCGCAAGGTCCCAACTTTGATCCCTGGTACCAAAAAGAAAGAAAAGAAAGGGGAGACAATAACAGTGGATGGGATAGAATTATTGGGAAGAATAAGTAAAAAGCAGGTGGCATATGCACAATCATTCTGCCAAGACCAAGTGTCGGCCCCCTCGGGTTCTGGGACACTGGCCTGCTGGGCCCTCCTTGCCCACTCACTTGGGACCCAGTCAGACTTCCCAGGTGGCACTGCCTATCTCCCCAGACCAGGAGCAAGCCCCCTTCCTGCTGGCTTTGAGCCCTACCCTGAGGCCGGCCTTGCTCACTCCCATGACACTGTCTGGCTCCTTGCTCCCTCCCTGCTCCTCTCTGGTTTTGACTGTCCAGACAGAGGTGACCCCAGGCCCTTTCCTGTGGAAGAAACCCAGGAAGCTAACGACCAAGCCAGGAGTTCTCCACCCTGGCTGGCTGCACGGCGGAATCCCTGGAGCCTTAAAACAGAAAATGATGCTGGACCCCACTGTAGTTAAACAGAACCTGGGTAGGGCCTGGAGCTGGATTGCTTTTAAGGCCCAGATGACTCTAAGGAGCACAAAGGATGGACTGGGGACTACGGAGACAGGGGATCCTCCCAGCTCCCTTCCTGCACTCCACAGTGTGCTGGGGAGCACCAGGAATATGGGGAGGCAGCGAGATGCCCAACCTGCTCAGGCCAGGATGGAGTCTGATGCCTCTTTAGCTGCCACCAGCCCTAACAGGACTCTGTGGATGTCCCTGCACTGAATGAAGCCCAGGCTTGGGGCCTCCCAGGCCTCCCAGGCCCTCTGCTTCTGCTGTCTTTAAGACCGAGAATGGCCAGGGTCCCCCTCACTGTGCTTGCGTGTAGCTGGCGTGAGGCCTAGAATCTGTCAGCAGCTTCATTGAGATGCTGCCCCAGCTCTGCCCTACTTCAGGATTTCAGAGCCTTAAGGCCCCTACCCCGGCCTTTCCCTGTTCCCTCTGTTACCCTGGAAACAGCTTTCGGTTTCTAGGGGTCCAGGGCAAATGGTGGGCAGGATGGGGCACGGGTGGAGGGCAGGCTGGCTGGCTGGGGAAGGGAGAGGCCTGGCAGAACCAAGGCTTGGCATGGGGTGGGGCTGGGGAGACCAAGACAGGCCCACCCTGAAGAAAGGGCCCTTTCTGACGGTCACTGGCTTAGAGGGGGTATTTTTCTGTGGTTTGTCTCCCCTGGTGAGGGTGCCTTTTTCTAATTTGCACAAAAACGTTGTATGTCTAAGTGGTGGCAGGGCCCTTGAACTGCCTGCTAACAGCCTGTGGGGTTTGGCCCTAGGACTCCCCTTCCCCCAGTGGAGACTCGGGCTCTGCCCAGCCCTAGCCCCAGGTGAGGAGAGAGCACCTTGCCTCCCACATTCCCACCAGCTGTGCTCCCCACTGAGCCCAGGAAGCGCCACATGGGGTGGCTGTGTGGAGCTGTCTCAAGGTCCCCGGGTGTTTCCGGAGCCCAGAATCCCATCGCAGTGATTTACCTGTAGGAATAACCAGGTGAGGCCAGCAACCAGGCTCGTTCTCTTTGCTTTTGAGACTCCATGGAACTTGCAGATGCTATCCACAGAGAACCCACTGTGCCAGAGCCACAGCTAGCATGAAGCATGAGCGGGGTACAGGTGGGTGACCCTGAGGTTGGGGCTCTGCTCTAGAAGGGAGGGCATTGGTCCTGTGTTCTGGCCCTGGCTCTGCCATTCCATCATCACCTGCTCCCTGGGCCTCAGTGTGCCCATCTCAGGATGAGGTCCTGCCCTTCCCAGCAGGACTCTGGTGAATGTGAGGGCCAGCAGGGTGATAAACAAGGAGTGCTTGAAAAATACAGTGAATGTTTAAATTAAAACAAATTTATTACCGTAAAAGACACATTGCCGTGAATCCTTCTCAAAATACTCTCCCTCACTATGAACACACTTCTCCCATCATTCTTGCCACTTTCTGAAGCAGTTCTAGAATTCTTTCCTGAGTGTTTTTATAAGGTGTGATCAAAAACAGGGTGAATGCTGCCGCTGCGTGCCATCCGACAGATAGGCAGGTCCACCTCATTCACCAGATCTAGCACTGTGAAACTTTGGTTCTTCTTCAAAGTCAAAATGACCACGAAAGGTAAATGTTTTGAATCAATTCAGGACACTGAGGCAGCCAGGATAATGGCAGGAAAGGTTGGGGAAGGGTGGGGCCCCCGGAAGCCGGAGACAGGGTATCAGTTTGGGAGGAGGCTGCAGCTTGAGGCAGAAGATGCTCAGCCTTTCTCCTCCCTTCCCTCGGGCCCCACCCTGGGCCTGGCCTCTGGGAGCCACATATTGTTAGTCCCCTCTCTCAAACGTGGCGGCCACAACCAGAGAGCCACCTCTTCTCTAAACCTTGGGTCATCCAGGGAAGTGAGTGCTTCTGCCAGATTCCCTGATCTCAAAGAGGAGACGAAGGCCTTGGACACACAGTCCATTCCCATCTCCTTCCCTGCACCCCACACACAGCACTGCCTTTCTGAAAATGGGGACATCCTCTGGGCCTCGGGGAAGGGACATCTGGAAAAGGCTTGGGGAGAGTCCCTGTGTCTGGCTGGGCTGAGGAGGAGTAAGTGCTAGGTGCCTCGCTGACCCAGTGGTGCCACCATGCTGGACTGGTCCGTGCCAGCACCCTGGGCCACCGCAGCTGGTCACCCTGTGCCACAGCCATGCCCCTGTCCTCAGCCTGCGGGAGGCTGCAGAGACTGGGCCACCAGCACCAGAGCACTCTCTGGCCACAGGGGCCTCTGATAAGTTTGGTCTTGGCTGGCAGAGGAAGATGGTGGTCCTGAGCGCTGTTCTCCACTACACTGACCTGACGCCTTCCTTCCACGCACCACCAGGAAAGCCATGGGCTCCAGGGCAGGGACATGGCGTGTTTATACAAGAACAGGAGTGACTTTGGGGCTGGGATGCCACAGGCACAGGTGAATGGCAGGAAGGGGAGCTGATTGGCAGTGCAGATCTCAAGCCCTAAAGATGTACAACCCTTTTGGCTGGGCAATCCACTGCTGGGAGTTGACGCTCAGGAAATAACAGTGAGTTCCCAGAAGGCATGTGTACAAGGACGCCTGTCTCATCCTTGTTTAGAACTGATACCACTCAATGGGAGATCGGAATGTTTACCCAGTGGAGAACTTATGTGCCATTCACACAGCAGCGGAATTATCATTAACACTTGGCAAGAACATTCTGGTGTGTGTCTTTTGGCCAGTTTAAGCATGCCTTTCTCTTAGGTATAGATGAAATTGCTGGGTTCAAAGGTTTATGTATGCTCACTTTGAGTTGCTGGAAAATAGATTGTTCCAGTGAGCACTGCCCAGTTTACAAGAACTCTTATTTATTGTGCCAGTATCTTTGCTAACACTTAGTATTGTCAAGCTGTTCCATTTTTGGCTCTCCTAGTGAATATCTAATGGGGATGAATTATCTAAATATGTGTCCACAAGAAAATAAAATGTATATATATATATATATATTTTTTTTTTGGTACCGGGGATCGAACTCGGGACCTTCCGCTTGCAAGGCAGGAGGCGGAAACACTGAGCTAAATCCCCGGCCCTAAAATGTATATATTTATAAAATGAAAATCTACACAGCAATGAAAAATTATAAACTACTAATTCACACAGTTTGTATAAACTTCAAAATGTATTTAAATTGTGTACAAAAGAGGACATACTGCATGATATCATTTATATAAAATTCTAAAACAAGGAAAAGTAAGTTAAGATGATAGTGGTCAGAACAATTATCTATGGGGATGAGGAGATACTGAAGAGGGAGAGGACAAGGGAACTTTCTGGAGTATTGAAAATGCTTGATACTTTGGTCTAGGTAGTAATTAACTAAGTGTATATTTATCATATTTATTCTGTGTCATAACAAAGTTTTGTTTTTTTAAAAAATTTTTTTAGATAGGGTCTCACTATGTACTTCAAACTGATCTTGTTAGGCAATCCTCCTGCCTCAGCCTTCCAAGTGCTGGGATTACAGGCATGCACCTCCACACCTGGCCACTAGAAAAGTTTTGTGGTTTGAAACTAAAATGTCCCTCCAAAGCCTCATATGTTTGGAAGGTGACTAGATAATGCAGGCATTGTCTTGTCATGAGTTCAGTAGCTGAACGTGTGGTTAAGAGGTAGGACCTGGTCAGAAGAGGGATGTCAGGCCGGGGATTTAGCTCAGTGGTTCTGCTGCCTGCCTCAAAAGCGCAAGGTCCCGAGTTCGATCCCAGTGCCCTCCCCCCCAAAAAGAAGAGGTATGTCACTGGAGTGTCTCTTTGGCGAGTATATCTCCCTCCCCGGGTACTCCCTTCTTTCTCTGCTTCCTGACCACTATGGAGTGACTGGCTTTCTTTCACCCAACCCCTTCCACATGCACTTTCTGCCTTGGAGCCAGCCATCCATGAACTGAACTCTCTGAAACTGTGAGCCAAAATAAACATCTCCTTTAAATAGCTGGTGTGGGGTATTTTGTCCCAGTAATGGAAAAGTGACTAGTTCAAAAGGGAAGCAAAAAGAAAACAAGGATGGATCTTGCTAGAGAGAATCTTCTATCCTTGAGGTATTAATTGAGCTGCACATTAAGTTTCCTTCCAACTCTGGTTTCAGAGTCAAGGGTTAGGAGCGTAGCTCAGCGGTGGAATGCTTCCCAGCATGTGCAAGGCCCCAGGTTCACTTTCCAGTCCTGAGGGGAAAAAAAAGTCAGAGGACAGTGTCAAATGGAATACCCACAGTGGCTCAGGGAAGAACTAATACTAGAGTCTTACCCTATGGTCTAGCGCTGCTATAGGTAAGCATGTGAAGAGGAATGGGAAAAAAAAGGAGTGTGGGAGAATGAGAGCTAAAACAACCACTATATGCCCTCCCATCGCTGCAAGAAGACCCTTCCCAATGAGAACTTTTAGCTCTTCCCATCAAGAACTGGAAGCTGAGCTGCGCATGACGGTGCATAGCTGTAATTCCAACACTGTTGGAGGCTGAAGCAGGAGGATCAAAATTTCTAGCCCAGCCTGGAAAACTTAGCAATTTACTAAGATCCTGTCTCAAATAGATAAGAAAGGGCTAGGAATGTAACTCAGTGTGAAGGTGCTGAGTCAATCCCCAGTATTGGAAAAAAACAAACAAACCCTGGAAGCAAGAAGTAAGTTAATTAGTCATGATGTATTTTTTTTTTTTTTTTTTGGTACCAGTGATCAAACCCAGGTCCTTGCGCTTGTGAGGAAGGCCGTGGAACCACTGAGCTAAATCCCTGCCCAGTCATGATATATTTTTAAAATCTGGATAGTCTCGGTCTTGGATGTGGACAGACTGATCCCTAGAAATACACAGAAACACTTGGTAATAGGTGTCAGGACAACCACAAGAGCAACGAGGATGCCAGGTACCCTCTCCAGGTGTCATCTCAGTGGATGAATCACCCTAACATGCCCCAAGATCTGGCTCTATGACAGGGGTGATTTGTTCTTTGTCTAACAAATATAAGATCAGGAGTTCGAGGTCTAGCTCAGTGGTAGAGAGCTTACCTAGCACACTGCCCTGAGTGGTTCAGTCCCTGACACCACACATGTGCACTCACACACACTGATACTAATAATTAAAAAAAGAATAACTCTTACTGAGCATGGTGATACCACCTGTAATCCCAGCAACACTCTGGGAGGCTGAGGCAGGGGGCTAGCAAGTTTGAGCCTAGACTTGGCAACTTAGCATCTTAGTGAGACCCTCTCTGCTCACCTCTTCTCACTCTCCCCCTCTCCCTTTACATGGTTTCTAAGCCAGAAAGACTTTGGACTGCCCTTTACATGCAGACCAGGAAGCAGAGAGGTCAAGGGCCTGACCCCAAGTCACCCAGCTGGGCCCACCACTGCACAGGTGGAGTCCCTGTGTTCAGCTGGCCGCAGCACAGGACCTCCCAGGAGGAGGCTCCCCTGCTGCCCCATTAGTGCTGCCTATAGCAGCTGTTGCACTTGAGGGCCAGGATTGCCCCAAGAAGAGATGCCTGGAGGCCAACACCCCACTCCTGCCTGGGCCCTAGGTCAAGGGGATGGGCGGCTGGGGATCCTGGAGGGCAGGCTCCGCCACCTACACACACTCTGGGACCATCAGCACTCGTAACCTGCAAGAACTTTCTGTGCAGGAGGGCAGATGACCCACACCAGAACCTAGTCCTCAGGGATGTGAGGTAGGGTTTGGGGTGCCACTTGGAGTAAGTCCCAAACCCATGGCACTAGGGGTAAAAGAAGACACTATTAAGCCTCGTGGCCACAGCAAGTAGGTCCTGCAATGGGCTGTGGAAGAGCCCAGAAGCACAGTGTTGGTGGTTTAGAGTGAGGCACATCTGTGCTTCAGGGGAGGGGACGGGCAACAGGGTGACACGCCTGAGAGATAGGTGGGGTGCAGAGGAGCAGGTGGGAAGGGTGACCTTGGTGGTGGCACAGCATGAGCAAAGGCATGGTGACCCTAGGGGCCACTCTTGTCTAGCTGTGGGACTGACCCAGACAAAGGGCCTGTAAGTGCCAGCATCTAGACACACATCCATCTGTGAGGTGCAGCCATTATGGGCAGAAGCCCTTGGTGAGCCCTAGTGGGGCCAGGAAGACTTCTGGGAGGAGGAGAGGCCTGCATGAGCTCTAGCAGGGTTCCCCTTCCTATCCCTTATCCTAAAGGCCAGAAGCCCAGGAACTGGGGACTGGGGGAGTTGTATCAGAGTCAGCAGGGAACCTCACTTGTCCTGGTGGACACAGACAGGGAAATGCAGGCTCAGCTTACCTTGGGGAACTTAAGCCCGGCCTAGCGGCTGCCCCCACCATACCCCCTTCAGTTCCCTGGGAGGTGTGTGCCCTCACCCTGGCTGGCTCTGTGCAGCACGGAGTTGAGTCTCTGTGAGGGTTACCCCATTTTAGCTGAGCAGCTTGAATTGTGCTGTGTGACCTCACACAAATCTTTCCCCTTCTCTGGGTCTCAGTTTCCCTACTCATAGAACAAGGGGGTTGGGCTCAGTACAATCCACCTCCCTCCCCAGCCCAGATTAACTGGTGAGCTTGGAGGGCTGTGTGCAGGATTACAATGCCAAGTTCAGTCTCAGGAACAGATGCCAGGACCCATCAGGGACAGACTGAAGTGGGCTGGTGCATATGAGCCTTGTGTCATTCATCTTCTTCACTCGCTTTGTGACACCCTGTACTCTGACAGGGGACAGAGGACCGGCCCTCCATGAGAAGTGCATCTCCCCTCACTGTGTGTGCCCCGGGGCCAAACATCTAATTCGAGGCATCTGACGTTGGCTCATGCAGATACGGAATAACCGCTTTCCTAAGGAAGAAGCAGGAGGGTAAGACCTCCAAATCGGAGTTCTTGCTTCATTTATTTTTCTGGTATGTTGAGAAATTTGTGCCCAGCTGCATTTATTTATAACAAACCAGAATGAGAAGTCCTGGTGTCGTCTTATTTGTTTATTGCTGAAACAAAAAAATCTATAAGTATTGTCAAGAAAGAACAGACTGAAATTTCACTATGACTGGGTTTAAATGGAACCCAAAATCTTGAGTAAAACTTTAATCACAAAATGAGTTTATGAAATGCGTGTGTGTTTGGCTGTGTGTCTATCATTGTTTGTGAATGTAGCATGTGTATATAGTAGATGTTGATGTACAAAGCATGTGTTCATGCTGAATAGATGTGACTGGAGTGTGTGCGGGTCTAGTGTGTGCATGTGGTATGCAGTGGGTGTTCGTAAACCACAAGAGTGCATGTTTGTGTTCAGCATGGTGTGTGCAATCTGCATGCTGTATGTAGTAAACAGAAAAGGTGGTACAGTGTGTGTGTGTGTGTGGGACGTGTGTGCACAGTCCATGTGTACATGGCCCATGACATGTGAATTCTGGGTACGCATGTGGTGTCCTTGCTCTGACCCACTGGCCTTGAGCAGGCCTGGGAATGACACAAAGTAGTGAAGCAGCTTCCTGGAGGACCATGCAAGGAATGAGAGTGAAGAGCCCTGTAACATTTTCAGGCCTTACTCTTCCAGGAGGAAATCAGGAATTTCTGGAGTCTGCTTTACACACCCTGCAAAACCCAAACTAGCAGAATGACTGCAGTGTGGTGGAAACCCCACTGCCAGCTCATGAAGCCCAATTGAAAAGCTTGTAGTTTCCGAGAAAGATTGCTCATCAAACTTTCCAGGCTTTTCTCCTGTCGGAGACCAGAGGAGAATTGAGGCCTAATTGGCCTCCTCGGTGAGCACAGAGGAGAAAGGCTGTTCTCAGGGGTGATTGCACATTGCAGGGAAAAGTTAAGACAGCTGAGGTTAAATTGTTTACCAGAGAATGTACTAATGGATATTGGAAAGCAGATGAATCTTGTGTTACTTTGATTGCTTATGTTTGGGTGAATAAAAGCAAGGTGAGCCAAAGGCTCGGGCTTCTCTGCGTACTCGAGATGAGAGCTGCCTGCATGTTAAGCTGACTCTGTGTCTCTGTCATTCATCCTCATTCACCCTCAGGTCAGGAGAACGAAGTAGTGGGTCTAGGTCCTGGAACAAGGCCAGCCACTTTCGTCTGCTACAGGTGGCCCCCAACATAGGCCTCAGGACCCAGGCTCAGCTACATCCTCCCCTTCAGCAAAGATGGGAAAAGGGTTCCAATGCCTGTCATTGGAAAGCTGAGCAATTTCCATGATGGATTTGGGGACTCCATCTGTAACAGCAGAGAGAAGGTTTAAGAGGTGATATTTAACTTCCACAACATCTAAAGGTAGTCACCCCCAGCAACCTGGAGGGCATAGGTGTGAGAGAGAGGGAGAGAGGCAAAGCATTCTCTCTTGATTGCCTTCAGGCAAGATGTCTGGAAGGTTTTATTCCTGGAAGAAGGACAGCAGGGATAGAGGGAGTGCGGGCCACTTTGCTAGGTGCCCTTGCAGGATTCATGGCAGCTTGTTGAACCTTGGCTTCTGCTTGGTCAAGAGGCACCATTGGCCTCAGTCTCACTGCCACACAGGACTGTGGGGTGAGCCCAGAGTAGGGGCTGTGAATGTTTTTGCAGAGTAGAAGGGACTGGCCCAAGGGGCAAGGTTGTTCCTGGCCTAGGGCCCAGGACCTAGTAGGTGTCCAGCAAACGGCTGTTGAATGAATGAGTGGTCCAGCAGGGCCATCCAAGAGAAACAGCCTGGTTTCCACTGGCCTTGGAGCGGGGCTTCCAGGGCAGGCCTGGGGCGGACACGGCTGCCTGTCCACTGCCCCCCGTTTCCTCCTTTCCTTTCCGGCCTCTCTCCCCACAACCTCGACCCGTTCCCACGGCCTTGCTCAGGCTGGGTTCCGGCTGCCATTGTTTGGCTGTTATCTGGGCCCAGCCCTGGTCAGGCTAGACCTTCCCTGGACCAGGAAAAGGGGCAGATGGTAGGGAAAGGAAGCTTGGGGTTGGATGAAGGCAAGAATCAAATTTCAAGTGTATCTGACTGGTGCAACCTCAGATGAGGAAACCAGGATTTAGAGAGGACCAAGGATAGTCCCAAGGTTACACCAAAGGGTGCAGAAAAATAATGGTCATCTTAATGGCAATGGCAATGTCTATCATTTATGGTGGAATGCTGGGATATTTTTAAAAATATTAACTACTGTTTTCCTCCAATATTTTCTTCTTAGCTCTGCCTCCATTTCCTGTAGCTAGTGTGCTGAGGCATGCCTAGGGAATGTGCAGATTTACACTGGATTACTGGGGGGCAAGGGACCTAGGGAGGCTACTGGGGGCTAGAAGCAGCCTGAAGACAGAGTGGAAAGCCTGAGGTTGACCATTTAGCAGTTGTCACTTTAGGGAACAAGCTGGAATTCTTGGATCTTTGAGTTTTCTAAAGCTAGGCAATAGAACTTCTAAAATAAGAAAATTATCATCATAATTTAAACTCAGTAGATTAAACAGAACTGAGAAAGATCTGCGAATTTATCTAAAGTGCAGCACAAAGAGGTAAATGGAAAAATAGGAATGAATATTTGTGAAGTACAAAGAAGCAACTGAGAAAGTCCATCCAGTGGCAAATAGTCTCAGGAAAAGAGACTGGCAAGAATGAGAGACAGTCTTCAGAGAGACAACGGCTAAGTATGCTTGAGAAGTAAAGGGAGACGTGAGTTTCAAATAGAGCAATCATGTCAGGCTCTGGGCCCTATTATGGTGCAATTCCAGATCTCAGAGAGAAGCCTTGCCAACCCCTTTGCTCCCCAAAGGCCCTCTCTTCTGACCTCTCCTGGCCCTGGCCACAGTGTCTTTACCTCTGCCCTGAATCTCTCACAGCTTTCATTAGAAATTCTTAGGTGGGCAAGTGCTGCCTCCTCCATGGATCTGGGAAAGGATCATCAGATACTTGCTTAGAGAGTCAGCCCTCAGTGGGTAGCCCAACCCTGCCTGCTCCAATTTCTTCATCCGACCAAAGATTAGCAAGCCCTGCTCGGAGCATTCACATGCTGATGGACTTCCTCAGGCACTGTGTGCCTACCCTGCTTAGTCCATTGCATCTTTATTGTTTTTTGTTTGTTTGTTTGTTTTTTTGGTACCAGGGATGGTACTCGGGTCCTTGCGCTTGCAAGGCAAGCAGTGGAACCACTGAGCTAAATCCCCGGCCCTCCATTGGATCCTTAAATTTCTCTGTTTTTATTCCAGATTTTCCCCCAATTCTACCTATTCTTTTCTTTTTCTTTATATACTCATGAGAAGCCATAATGGGATAGTGCTCATCTTAGTTCAGACTGAGTCATTTACCAACAATGGAAGTTTATTGCTCACAGTTCTGAAAGCTGGGAAGTTCAAGATGAAAGTGCAGCAGATTCAATATCTGGTGAGAGCTTGCTCCTGCTTCAGAGGTGGTGCCTTCTTGCTGTGTTGCCACCTGACAAAAGAGGCCAGGAGGCTCCCTCTGATCTCTTTTATAAGGGCACTAATCTCACTCATCAGGGCTCTGCCATCAAGACTTTTTCACTTCCTAAGACCCCACCTCTAATACCACCACCTCCAGTATTACTAGGTTCCCACAGATGAACTTGGGAGGGGCACCAAAGTCAGACCATCGCAACTTTCAAGCTCAGTGTTAGCAGCAACATCCTTTCATCAAATAAAAATGTATTCTTTGAAACCCAAAGCAGAAACAAGGACCCATTGGTAGAATTGGGGTGCATGTGAATGCAAGGCAGCAGGTAGAATGAAGACACGGAGCCTGACTGACTCATTTTCCCTTAGGCTATCCTGGGTACCTTAGATGGAGCCAAGTTAGGAAACCACCCATCAAAAGCTTGAACAGTTTTTCCAGAGTGTGGGGGACACAAGTTCATGGTTATGTGTCCCATGAAAAAGGGACCCTTTGGTGAAATGAGTTTGTGAAACACTGTATTAATCAAATTGAGCTGGGTGCCTTCAGGGTTTCTTGGAGACTTTGATGTTACAGTGTGCACTGGGAGTCCTGATGGACCCAGCTCCAAAAACCTACTGTTATATTTAGGACCACCCTGCAGGATGGTGCTGAGCTGGACACACTAAGAAAGTGCTCTACTTGAGAATAGTGATAATTCTTCCTATGCTACCCCCTCAAGACCTACCAAAGGATCAGCTGGGTGTGAGGCAGGAGGCTGAGGCAGAAAGAGTGCCATGAGTTTGAGACCAGCCTGGGCTACACAGTGAGTTCAGGGTCAGCCTGGAATACATAGCAGGATCCTGTCTCAAAAAAAACCAACCCACAACAAACAAACAACTGATCCCACACATGCCACCCCACCCCCCACCCCAGGACCCAGCAAAGGGCTAGACATGAAAATAGGGGGAGGCAGTAGATATTGTGCATTGAATAGAAGTGTTAGTCCTGTGGGAAGCTCAGCGATGTCCAGGCCTTTTTCTTCTGGCCTCTGTTGTACAGAACAAGCCTGGTCTGGCCCAGCATGGTTAGGTGAGCCTGGATTCGGCAGGTCCATTCTTCCTGACAAATCTCTGTCCCAGGGCTGAGCTGACCCTTTGGCCCAAGCAGGAGGCTCCCAAGTTCTGGCCAAGAGAGCTCTGGGAAACCTGGCTTCCTTCCTGGAAGTCTTTGAGGTCATCCAGGCTCTTCAGAATGGCAAGAAGAATTTCTAGAAATGTGGCAGGTCAGTGACAACCAGGCAGGATGTCCAGACATTCCTGCAGCAGACACACTTCCCCGTGGGGCCGGGCCTAGGCTGCCTTCTGCCCCCATCAGGGAGCAGAGGCCCCAGTCCCCTAACAGGCCACCTTCCCACTTCTGGCCATAGAAGCCTCGGATGTGTGGTGAAGGAGGTGAGCACCCCAGGCCATCTCCAGGGACCCAATCCCAGGATGGGCCTGTCTAGCTTCCTTTACCCTCATCCTTCCCTCTCTCTTTCATCCTCTGAACAGGCAGGTGGAAGGGGAGTCACCTCTGCCAGGTGCCGGCCTCTCAGTGACCCAGGCAGCTCTGTCTTTGGAGGCTGGGTGTTCCTAGCCCAGGAATGCTGATGTGAGGTTTGAAGGGCTCTCACATATGCAGTGCTGCTAAAGGCCATATTCTGGCTGGGGGACAGAGGGGGAAGACCTTCCTGAGACATCCATTTCTGAAGCAGGTTCCTGACTTCAGAGCCGAGGATACGAAGATCCTTTGTTTTCAAGGAGCTTCTGCTCACTGCTGCCCTTCCTCCCATGTCTCTTTCCTTTTTTGTTCATCTCTCCGGCCACATCCTCACCTCTCCCTGACCCCACCACGTAGAACTGCTATTCTCAGGAGAGGGAGCAAAAGCCAGGGACTCAGAGACCCTTGCTTTGGGCACCCTGGCTGGGTGGGAAGACAGCTCCCACCTGCTCCGCCTGAGGGCCTCTCCTTCATTTTGTTGCTCTTCTAGGGGACTCCATGGCGATGCCCTCAGCTGATTCCCCAGCTGTTATTCCTTGGTGAGGTTGGACAGGAATTTTCAATCTTCAAAAGTTTTGATTGTCTGTGGGGAAGCATGTTTTATCTGAGAGCTGGACTTGGC